CATGCCATGCGTCTCTACTTTCCCATATCTGTCCACCCACAGTGAGTTGCTGATTCCAGTCCAACAACACAGGATTCACTCCAGCCTTCCCCTCTTCCTTCTTTTTAAGTCATTTCTCTGGCTGTGGGAAGTTTCAGTCTCATGGTAACACAGTATATTTACTCATTTGTTCAATCCTAGTATGTACATAAAGTCGTCGCAGAATTTCTAACCCATATTCTGTGACACATAAATAAATTTACCAGCGTATGATAGTGGACTATAGTAGTGGGTTGGTTTTTTGTTTGTGTGTCATTAGTCTTGCCATATATAATCAAAATACCATTTTCCCAAGTTACTTGGTTTGGTTTTCTTCTTTCCCACTCCCTTCATTATGGTTAAATTAATGTGGGGGAAAAAAATCAATCCCTAAAATGCAGAAGCAAAATGAAACCGTTGAATCTAGCTGTATATCAAGTGGACAGTGTAATCCCAAGGCAGAGATTATTTCAAATGTTGGTATTTAATATTTTTGACATTTTCATTTTGATATCATTTCAGTTTGCGATTCCAATATAGCCTTTATCCAGATTTACCAACTCTTTACATTTTGCCCCATTTACTTTATCATTTTGCCTTCTATCTCCCCTACCTCTCTGAGTACATACTTAGACTTAAACACATGTGTACACACACCATTTTTTATCTGAACCATTTGCGAGTAAGTTGTCCCCAAGTCCTTTAGTGTGTAAGTGCAAGGACATTCTCTTCTATAATCCACAGTTTAGTTCTCAGAATCAGGAAATAAGACGACAGTCTTCAGTCCACAGTCCATATTCAGATTTATCATTTATTTCAGTGTCCTTCATAGCCCCTCTTCCCCTGCAGTCTGAAATCCATCCAGTCCAGGAGCACCCATCACCTTACTTCCCATATCTCTTTAGTCTTCTTGAGTCAGAAGAGTTCCTCAGTCTTTCTTTTACGACCTTTGTTTTTAAGGGGTACAGGCCAGTCGTACAGATCATCCCTCAGTCTGTGTTTGTATTTCCTCAGGATTGGATTCAGGCTTAGTAATACCAGTGAAGTGATATATCCTTCTCAATATATCAGCATTACAAGAGGCATGATGTCTGTTTGTGTGGTAATAGGTACTTGGGTATCTTAGTTAAGGGCGAGCTGCCAGATGTCTCCACTATAAAGTTGCTGTTTTTCCCTTTGAAATTAATAAGCAATTTTGAGAGGTACTTTGAGACTGTGTAAGTAAATATTCCTCATCAAAGTTTTACCCACTGGTTTTAGTTTCCATTGATTGTTTTTGCCTGAATCAGTCAGCACTGTGATGGTTGCAAAGGAGTGATTTTCTAAGCTTTGTTACTTGAACTCTAAATTTTAGTCATATCCTACTATAAGAAAGAGTTTTCCTTTTTTCTCCCCTGTATTGATGTCATTATGTACTCGTGGGTTCTTTTTTCATTCAGTGGGTTATATTCCACTACTATATTTATTTTGATATTCAGATCATCCTGGACATAGCCAGCCAGTGGTAAACCTCTTCAAGTTGGTGGTGTTATTTGGGTATGTCTCTATCCTTCCTTGCGTACTTCCTTACATTCTGGCACAATAATATGTTTGGGGCTCATCCTGTACTTTTCCTGCCCCCCCCCCCCAGCCCTGGGATCAACTATTTCTCTAACATACCTTGCTTTTATCCTAATGGAGAATATATTTAGAAACCAAGATCTGAGAGTGAGTTATGGCCTTTGCTGTTGTTTCTAGGCCCGTTCGGTGGACATAGCTGGAATACATACACAGAATATAAATGCACATAGATACATAACATGCATTCATTTGTATGTGTATATGTACACATGTATAATAAACCTATAAATACACATATATCCATATCTGTTTCTATACCTGTATGTATGTGTATGTTTGTATATTCACACAGGCACACACCTAACCACGAGTTAATACTGAAACCTCTAAATCCATTAATACCACGGTTATTCTAGTTTTTTCTTTATAGATTTGTAACTTCCTTCTTCAACAGTGAAAACCCTAACTTCTTTTTTTAATTTTATTTTATTTTATTATATTATGTTAATCACCATACATTACATCATTAGTTTTAGATGTAGCGTTCCATGATTCATTGTCTGTGCATAACACCCAGTGCTCCATGCAGAACGTGCCCTCTTTAATACCCATCACCAGGCTAACCCATCCTCCCACCCCCTCCCCTCTAGAATCCTCAGTTTGTTTCTCAGAGTCCATAGTCTCTCATGAAAACCCTAACTTCTGTTTCTCTCAGTATATTTATGCATTTCCTCAATCCTATATTACGTAGAAAATAGTTTCAGATTTTCTAACCCTACCATGGGAAAGAAAAAGAAACCTACCTGCCACTGTGTATTTAAAACACTGTAATATGAGTGTACATACTTAGTGGGATATAACCCTATGAGAGGAGGAAAACAGAAATCTTGCATTGTTTTTAGTTATGTTTTGGGGGGATCATAATGATACAGTTTTTCTGAGACTATTACATAAATTGTGAGATAAATCAAATGAATAATGATATTGGTGTGATTGAGAATTGAGCTTTTTGACATGGTTAAAAAGAGATACAGGTATGTGGTTGGTAACATTAAAATCCCATACTTTTAAGTTTAAATTATAAATAATGGTATGATCTCATGATGTATTTTGTCTTATATATGCACATGGTTGGATACACTACACACACACACACACACACACAAACACAAACACTTCTGAATAGGCCTAGAAACAATGACCTACCTAATAGCAATGAGCACCTCTAGAGCATCCAGACTCCCACTGAAAGAAACCAGGACTCCCAGGAAAAAAATGGCTGAATCTAGGTCTGGGCAGGAGATCTACAGTAGGAACATGGAACGTGTCATACCAGAAAGCAAACATGAATAGACCTATCCATATCTATTTCTTTCTATGTATGTATATGTGTACTTACCCCCCCCCCATAAGCATGAGCTCATATGGATACCTCCAAATCCATTTTTAACACCAGAGTTTATTCTCATCTTGCTCCTTTCTATATTCGACTGGATCATGTTAAAAGAATTCAGGAGGCAACTTGAAATTTCCCACAGGAAAAAGAATAACAACAATGGGATAAAACATAGGACATATATTTAAATGCATAACCTCATTGTGTTCTTTAAAAAATAAATAGAAGGGGCGCCTGGGTGGCTCAGTTGGTTAAGCGACTGCCTTCGGCTCAGGTCATGATCCTGGAGTCCCGGGATCGAGTCCCGCATCGGGCTCCCTGCTCGGCAGGGAGTCTGCTTCTCCCTCTGACCCTCCCCACTCTCATGTGCTCTCTCTCATTCTCTCTCTCTCAAATAAATAAATAAAATCTTTAAAAAAATAAAATAAAATAAATAAATAAATAGAAAAGTCTTCATTGGTCACTTTTGGAGGATGTTATTTTGGAAACTGATTTAAGTGAAGAGAAAGAAGGGGCACCTGGGTGGCTTAGCCAGTTACATGTCCGACTCTTGGTTTCAGCTCAGGTCCTGATCTCATGGCTCATGAGATGGAGCCCTGCTGTGGGCTCTGCACTCAGCGGGAGTCTGGATGGATATTCTTTCCCTCTGCCCCTTTCCCCACTCGTGCACTCTCTCACTCTCTGTCTCTAAAATAAATAAATAAATCTTTAAAAAATAAATAGAAAGAATCAGGCATTTAGCTTGTCTTTTCTACAGAAACTGAACATCAGGGTAACCAAAAAATTGATGAGGGATTGTAACCTCTAATGAAATAGTGGATCTAGTCAATGATTATCACTCAAAGAAAGACAACCAGACCTCATATGCCTCCTGAGGGAAATTCAAACACCACCAAGAAACACACTTGCCAGAAATCAAATCTTAACCTGATCAAGTCTCAAGATACAGCTCCCAGTTTAGAGGAAATATAGGGAACAGAGGAACTTGTTCAGTGACACAGCCAGAATGCAGGTGGCAAAATGTGGACTGTTAGAAACTAGAGGACAGAAACCTGGTCTCTCCAACAAAAAAGTTGCATTTCAGGGGCTCCTGGGTGGCCTAGTCAGTTGAGCATCTGACTCTTGATTTCGGCTCAGGTCATGATCTCAGGGTCATGAGATCAAGCCCCGAATCGGGCTCCCTACTCAGTGCAGAGTCTGCTTGTCCCTCTCCCTCTGCTCCTCCCCGCTCTTGCACTCTCTCTGTGTCAAATAAATAAAATCTTTTTTTAAAAAGTTGCATTTGAAAAAGGGAGAGGTCAAAAAGCAAGGAGTATCTATAGATTGAAAGAGACTTGAGACATATTAACCCGCTACAACATATGGGCCCTATTTACATCCTGATCGAACAAGCAAACTTAATATGCGTATGAGATAAGCAAGGAAATTGGGACACTGACGAGATGGTTCATTCCAAGTGTTCATGTTTTGAAGTGTGGCAATGGCAAAGACAAGAGTCCTTGTCTTTCGAATTATACATTAAATACGTAAAGATGAAACCTTAGGATGCCTAGGATTTGCTTCATAATAGTCTTAGAGGGTGGGGGCATAGTAGAGATGAAAAACGATTGTCCATAAGTACTTTACTGTTGTCTATGTGTGAAAATTTCTTTCTAGTGAAATGAAAAAGTGGTGTTGCCAGCTCTGAGGCATTTGCCCAGAGAGCAGGACAGCATCCTGGGAATGAGTGCCTGTGCTCAGACTGCAAGCTGGGGAGGGTAGGAAGCCATGTCCTTCTCATCACTTTATCCCAGCATATGGTAGTCACTCAGTAAATGAGTGACTTTGAAAAAAAAAAAAAAAAGAAATGAGTGAGTTTGAAGGGACAGCCAACATCTGGGTGAATTTTGTTCCAAAATTGGTCCCATGACTCATAACTGTGAGAGCTGGCCACTCACACCACATGGTATTTAAGCATTTCCCTGTTCCTTGGGCTGCTGCCATTATATCTGGTGACATGATATATATGACCTTCCTTCCTTCGCAGGCTCAGGCCCGATGTCACCGGATAGGCCAGAGCAAGGCCGTGAAGGTGTATCGCCTCATTACTCGGAACTCCTACGAGCGGGAAATGTTTGACAAGGCCAGCCTAAAGCTGGGCCTGGACAAAGCTGTTCTTCAGGACATAAACCGAAAGGGCAGCACCAATGGAGTGAGTATGACAGTACCTGCCCGGGGTCCCCAAGAAGCACTCCTCACACAGCCTGGGCCCCTCTGGAGTCTTCCTTCCTACAGCTGTTTTAAGATTCACTTTCACTAAATCGAGTCAGGTTGCACGTCTTTGTTGAGTCATTCCCCACAGCAGAGGATCATTCAGGGTCAGATCTCTGCATTTTACAGATGCATAAAGGAAGTCTGTAGGCACAGTTAAGGGGTAGGATTGCCCAGCATGCAGTAACGTTTTTAGTAAGCAGAGTTTTTAACAGTGCCCATTAGAAGTCAGTAGGTCTTAACAGTTAGCACTCTACATATCTATTGTCACCATGCCTTATCTTGTACTCCAGACTTCGAGCTTCCTTGGGGTATAAGGGAACCTATTTTACCTGTATCACCCATGGACCTTAACAGTACTTGGCATATTAAAGATGTTCATTGCATGATGGTCAGTGAAAAAAATGAATGAAAAAATTAGCAGCTTGCAATATGGCAGTTAATAAAATCTTTTTCCCCCTCCACAGGGATGAAAAATTGCAGCTAAGATTCCTAAATCGTATTAAATTATAGGCCAACAAAGCAGAGTTATCTCCTTAATCTCTGGACTCAGGGCATCAAAGGTTGGGAATTAAAACCTTCTAAATGAGTTGTCTTCAGTCCAGATGTTCTATATCCTCTTAGCTATGCGTATGTTGCTAAGTATAATACTTCAAGTTCCAGTGCTGGGACTCATGGAATTCCCTCTTGTGATTGATAGAGAACCAGATTCTTAATTACAACCAGGAAAGGGTGTTTTGAACTCCCATTTCCTATTTTCAACAAGCAGTTGAGAAGATCACACTTGGCACAGGATCCTTTCTTTAGTTGAGAAATGACATCATTTCCAGTACTCATGTATTTATTTAATAACGAATAAATCATCATTCTTTAGCTCATTTAATACATCTGGAGGTTTTTAAAGATACAGACTCAAGCTAAAACATTAAATATATCCACTTTAGTGGTGCATAGTTTAAATACCTTGTAACATTTGATAGTAACCAATGTCCTGAGGAATGTTAGGGCCATTAGGTCATGTGCTGGCTTTTCTTCCAGAGCTCCCTATAGGGGATTATCTGCCTGCCCTCCCCATAGTTTTCTTGAATGTCTTTATCTGGGCTTTAGTTTTCTAGAACTTGTAGCCCATATCTTTATTCTTCTGACATGTGCAGTTAGTGGAGGAAGTGTGTACTGAATCATGAGGGCCAGATTTGAGGCTGTTTTTCTCCTGTGCATTTTCCACTTTGTGAGTAGCCTTTGGTGACCTGTCCAGGTACAACAGCTCTCAAAAATGGAGGTAGAGGACCTGCTCCGGAAAGGTGCTTATGGAGCCTTAATGGATGAGGAAGATGAAGGCTCCAAGTTCTGTGAAGAAGACATAGACCAGATTCTGCAGAGAAGAACCCACACCATCACCATCCAGTCCGAAGGGAAAGGGTCTACTTTCGCCAAGGTATGGCACCTTTCCTCCAGAGTCCGTGTTGGAGTGGGAGCAGAAAGAAAACTATTCTTCGATCTTCACTGGCCAGGCTGTTTTCTCTATATGCAAACCTCTGAGATTGTGTACACCTCTGTTTTGTGTGAGACTAAATTCTGAGTAATGAGCCAGAAGCTCTATAGAAAGAAAACACCACTCCTGACGTTTGGGACCTGATCTTCAGCAGACAGGACAGACACTTTGGTTTACAGCTTGCACTGTTCACTGTTCACAAAGACTGCTCTGACATCTTTGAGTGGTCATCTGGATTTCCTTCTAGAGCACTCCTTGACCACTGTCCAAGCCCTGAAATTCCAATGAACATTGCATTCCTCAAACTGAAGCAAGTGTTTTTGCTCATTTCATGAGAAAAGAGATGTTAGTCTAGATTCCTAGCTGCTAGTCTAGGTACCCCTTTCCTCTGCCATTCAGCTCACTGGGTTTTGGATTCAACTAATGAGACCACTTACCAGATCACTTTCAGGTGTCCCTGACCACAGGCTCTGGGAGCTTTGTGGCCTGTTTGGTTGACTTATGTAGGACTTCTTCAGTAGAACATCCTGTGCTTTATGGGTGCCGCTCATCTCATTACACCTCGTACTGCCTAACTCAGTGCCTTTCCTATAGTAGACGTTTGGAAAGTGGTGAGCTGAAAGAAAAATTCCATCTAGGGAAGTTGGAAGAAGGAACCCTTTCGCAGGGAACTAGACATCAAGTGACACATTGCCATTGTGTTCCAGGGGCTTTCTTCCTGCTTCCAAGTTTCAGTTCCAAAAAATGACCTATACATTGAAATTGTTAATTTCCTTACCCAATCTTTAGAAAAGAACAGTCTTGAGATTTTTACATTCATTTGGGAGGCTCTGTTAGGGGTTTCGGTTTCAAATGCAGTTAGAGAACATACTTGAGATTCTGGTACATTTGAAATAACATAGGTGGTATTACCAGTTTGTACTGTGTTCAAATGCAGTTTATTGACTTTCATCATCTCCACAGGCTAGCTTTGTGGCTTCAGGAAACAGGACAGATATTTCCTTAGATGACCCAAACTTTTGGCAGAAATGGGCTAAAATAGCTGAACTGGACACTGAAGCAAAGAATGAAAAGGTACGGTACTGAGAATGTTCTATTCCATCGCAATTTCTCTGTGTCTCATAGGACCATAAATTCCCACACAGCTCATCAAGTCATTATTCACTCCTGAGCCTTAGTTCGTAAGTGAGCTGCTATAGGTAACATACTTAAAATATGCCTGACACATAGACAGAGCTTGATAAATGTTCGCTGTTGTAATTTCAAAATGACCTAATGGGACATGCAGTTTGCTGGGCACCCGGGAAATTTGACAGAGGCAGTTAGAACTGGGACTGGCCAGGGGCACCTGGGTGGCTCAGTCAGTTAAGCATCTGCCTTCGGTTCAGGTCATGATCCCAGGGTCCTGGGATCGAGCCCCACATCGGGCTCCCTGCTCAGCGGGAAGCCTGCTTCTCCCTCTCCCACCCCCCTGCTTGTATTCCCTCTCTCGCTGTGTCTCTGTCAAATAAATAAAATCTTTTTTTAAAAAAATAAAAATAAATAAAAAAATTTTAAAAAGAACTGGGACTGACCACACACAGGTCAAGTTCAGCCCTCTGACCCAAGCCAGCATCCCATCCTTGGCATGTGAGTGTTTTACCTCTGCTTCAATACTTCCTATGAAAGAAACTTCACCTGTGACAAATACTCCAGAGGAGACAAAGCAGCATGAGGGGCTTCGTTGGTCTCCCCTCCATTCTTTCAGTATCTTGAGTTCTTCTACTTCTGAACATGAGAAAGAGAATAGCCCTGGAATGAAACCAGAGTCTGGTGTCAGTCCGCCTCCGACTGTGTGCCTCTGGGCAAGGCAGTTGACCCCACTGAGATAAGTGAGCAAGACATGGGACAAAAGGAGGTGGTGACACCCTCTCGCAGAGTTGGCGATATTTGTGAATACACCTGCCTAGCCTGTGGGGAGGCACCCCTTAAGTGTTCATCTCATCCCTTCCCTCCATCCCTGGTCCTGTCACCTCACTCCAGGATGCACACACATCACTTTCTACTTGTCTTCTCTGGTGGCTGTTGAACCCCTGTGGATCCACGAACCCAGGAGACAGTCCCTGCACATAGCTAGCTGATTCAGTGACCAGCACCCAGCCTTAACACTTCCGTGGGATCACCAGAGCTTGCTCAGTCCACCCTCTTCTCTTCTGTAGGAAGAGTCTGAAGTCCCTTGAGTAACCTGTTTAGTAAAACCTGTTTTACAAGGTCACAATCAAGAAGTTACTCTATGTGCTGGACAGTGGGCGAGGGTGGGGAGAAAAAGCTCTTGTCCTTAGAGACCTTTAGAAGCAGCTGGAGCATACAAGGCAGGGAGCAAGGGGACTGAAGCAGGGGTAACGCCACTGTGTATTGGGGCCACACAGACAAGTATTTAGGAGCTGAGCTGAGCTTTGGGAAGAGGTATGGGGGAGGGGGGAAGGAAAAGGAGCAGGAGCTTATGGGGACTCTTAAAGAGGCAATGGTTCTGGCATGGATGGTTCTCCTCTCAGAGGAGCTGCCAGAATGAGCAGAGGATCCTGGGCTGGGGATCATGTCTTCAGTGAAAGACAAAAGGTTAGCAGTTAGTGCTCATGGAAGACAGAGAGTAAAGAAGCAAGGAATGTGTATGTCTTCAGAAAGTTGCTGAGCAGATGGATTTGTCCAGCTCCTCCTGTCTAGAGCGCAGGCTGCCCCTGCATGCTGGGCAACAGCTGGGGTGTGCCACTCCAGCCTTTCTTGGCAAGAGCAGACTGCCACTCTGGGCACTGGGGGGCCTTGTTCCCCATACCTGCTCTGCTGGCAGGACTGCAGAAAGAGCAGATGGTGGTGGACAGCGCTGGGGTCTTGGGGGAGCGTGCCATCTCTAGTGAGTCTCCGAGAATCCGCTCTGCTTGTCGTGGTCATGGGAGGTGTACTGGGAAGGGCCTTTCCTGCTGGAGGATGAGGCCGCGTGTGGTTTTCTACCGGATGTGTCCTCAGGACCCAGGACCAGCCACAGGATATGCGTGTGCATTGTGATGGGAGTAGAGCAAAGAGGGCTCTCTCCCCAACCGACCTCTCTGTTTCTAGGAGAGCTTAGTGATCGACCGGCCTCGAGTGAGAAAGCAGACCAAACACTACAATTCCTTTGAGGAGGATGAGCTCATGGAGTTCTCCGAGCTAGACAGTGACTCCGATGAAAGGCCCACGAGGTCCAGACGCCTCAATGACAAAACCAGGCGCTACCTCCGAGCTGAGTGCTTCCGGGTGGAGAAGAACCTGCTCATCTTTGGGTGGGTATCGGCTTTGCCTATGTGTTACTGTTTTCCAGTCCCTGAGATTTGTCCAGTTTGTCTCTCCAGTCACCTCTAAGAGCTCCGGGCTGATGAAGGGTCTGTTAGAGCAGGAGAGAACTGTGCGTTTTGCCCATGGCCCCCTCAGTCATTGTTCACTCTGCTGCCATATTGTAGACGTGCCATGGTTTTCTCATGTGCTTGTTCCAGCAAATCTCTGTTACTAATTTGCTGCCTGGTACTGATTTCCTGCTCCCCGCCCCCAGGGATGTACGAGGAGTCCGTGCAACAGATGTTACAGTTAGGGCATGATTTGTGCAGGGCTCTGGTTCTGGTAGAAGTAGAAGATTTAGCTTCTGAGAGCTCACCATTGCTTTTGAATACTGCAGCTGGACTCTCTTAATTCCAAATTTATTCCCTGCTCCAAATAGTTTCATCCCTCCCTTGTTAACATTCTGGTGGCTATAGGAAGCTCTCACTGTCCAGGTCACCTTAGTGACATTTGGTGTGCTACAGCATGTGGTCCTTGGAGGCCTTTCAGGGCTAAGCCCTGAGGGTGATGAGTAGACCCGACAGAGGATGAGAAGCACTCTTGGCTCCTGTTTGTCCTGCAGTGTTGAGGGCACACGTGGCCCTTCCTCCCTCCAATGCCCTTCTGTATTTCCACTCTCAGCTGGGGCCGGTGGAAGGACATCCTGACTCATGGGCGATTCAAGTGGCATCTGAATGAGAAGGACATGGAGATGATTTGCCGGGCCCTGCTGGTATACTGTGTCAAGCATTACAAGGGGGACGAGAAGATCAAGAGTTTCATTTGGGAATTGATCACACCTACCAAAGATGGGCAGGCCCAGACCCTCCAGAACCACTCAGGTGAGCGGTGGCAGGGTCATGCCTGAGAAGCGGGAGCTCCTGTATGCTTCCATCCTTCCGCCTGTGTTGCCCCAGGTTGCTGTGCTTTGGGAGACTTCTCTTTCTCAGATACATTGGAGAATGTTAGCTGTGGGAGAGGAAGGTGATTGCTTCAGTTCTCCCTCAGCATCATCCAGTGTTACGTATACCATCTTGTGGAAGTACAGTGGGCCCTCTTGAGGTTTCCCACGTGCCCGTCCTATGCACTGACCTGAGCGTCACAGGGTTCCTTCTTTGAACCGGGGTCACACCATGTGCACTGTGGTTTTTCTTTTGCATTTCACTGTTCTGTCCCAGTCCTACCTGTCTGTGCCTTTTCTTGTGCTGTGCTTTTCCTTCCCTGTGCTTGGCCGTAGCCCACCTTCACGTTTCAGGTTAAGTGTGCCTTTTTTCCTGGCCAGCTTATAAGTTCTCCAAGGGGCACACGTGATGTTCTTGATCTGCCTGGGTAAATGCCTACTGCCTGACTGAACGCTGCTGGAGTTGACTGAGCTGGGGGCCAGGCGTTTCTCCTCACTATTGGCACTGCTTGGTGGACCAAGGAGTGGGGTCTGTCATCCAGGCCACCACGCACAGCCTGGCTGCCTCTTTGCAACCCCAGCCCAGCTCTGTTCTGTCCCCCATGTTTAAGCTGCCTAGGCTCATCTACCTGCCTTTCTGCTACAGGGTTGTCTGCTCCAGTCCCCAGAGGGAGGAAGGGGAAGAAGACAAAGAACCAGCTGCTGCTCCCAGAGTTAAAGAATGCAGACTGGCTGGCCACCTGCAACCCCGAGGTAGTCCTCCATGATGACGGCTATAAGAAACACCTCAAACAGCACTGCAATAAGTGAGTGGGCCCCTCCCCATCCCTGGTGGCAGCTCTACTCACTGTCCAGACTCCTGGGATCCCCACGGGGCTGTGGGAGACTCCCTGATGCTCCTGACGACCATGCAGGGTTTGGAAAGGCAGGATGTGTGGTCTAAGCTGGGTCGGGATCCCTTCACCTAAAGCCTGTTTCACTCCTTTAGCAACATCTCTTCCTGCAGAGCCTGGATTCTCTACTAATGCAGCCTGTGCCCCTGAGGGTTTTTCTGACTTGACTCTCTAAATCCAGTTAGGACACTGGTGATTTCATTGTTCTCTCTCCTTCTGTCCCTGAGGTCACATTAGGGAAAGCAGAAGACAATGGCCACTGCTCTCAGCCTCCCCCCTCCCCCATGCCAAGTTGCTTCCTCTCCTAATGCACTGTTGCTGCTCATGGCCTCCAGGTGTTTGACAGACATGCATTTGAGACGTATCTCTTATATCCCTAGGCCCTAGGCTAGCACCGTGCAGAGGGAGGGATGCAAGGGACACAGTGACAGAAGATGAAACTGCTCTTGTTTGAGCTTGGGGAGGTGGGGCACCCAACCACCAAGCAGTGATGAGCTGTCCCTGGATACTTGCGTCACAGTATGGGGGATCTGTTAGAACTTAAAGGGCCCTTGGAGACCCCTCCCCCCAATCCAGCTTCCTAGGCCTAGGGTGATCTCCCCAGCACTCCTGCTCAGCAGTGAGCAGGCCTCTGCTGCCACACCTCTGGTTATAACCATAGAATTTAAGTGATAAGTAAGAGTTCGTTAATTTCTAAATTAGTATGTTTTGATAGGTTTTTGTTTCCTCCCTGTGACATCATCTAATGGTCCTGTGGTGGTTGTTGGGTTGTATCTTTTATGGATGAAGTGTGGTCCTTGCCCTTCATCTCTCCAAAGCTTTAAAGAGAGGCCTCATGTCCAAAACTGTAATAAAACCTGCACAGAAGTACAGGCTCTTTGGGAAAGAGAATCCAAGGGCACGTGCTTGGTGGTAGAACCTGCCTGGGGCAGGACCTGGTAGCATGCTCCATGCGACTGACTCAGAGTCACCACAGAGGGGACATGCAGAGGAGGCAGCCTCAGAGCTGAATGGCCATCTCGGAGACGGTAGAACCTGCCTGGGGCAGGACCTGGTAGCATGCTCCATGCGACTGACTCAGAGTCACCACAGAGGGGACATGCAGAGGAGGCAGCCTCAGAGCTGAATGGCCATCTCGGAGATGGTAGAACCTCCCTGGGGCAGGACCTGGTAGCATGCTCCATGTGACTGACTCAGAGTCACCACAGAGGGGACATGCAGAGGAGGCAGCCTCAGTAAGAGAGCTCGTAGGAGACCTCGCACTGCAAACTAGATGAAGATTCTCTTGTACTTTAAGCAGCCATCTTTCTTGAACAAGTGAGACATGTGGTAAAAAAAAATAATAATAATGTTTGAGGAGAAGAATTAATCTGGCAACAGCAAGATGGAATAGGTCAACCTAGAGCTGAATGGCCATCTAGGAGAGTTCTGTCATAATTCAAGTATTGATCATGAGGACCTAGAGAAGGGTGCTGACTAGAGAGTTGGGGAGAAAGGGTCAACTGTGAGACGTGACCAAGGAATAATGTGTAACGACGGGTGATGAGGAATCCATACGCAGCTAACTCCACAATCGTGAGCCTCACCAGCTGGGAGGCTAACGGTGCTTGGGCCAGGACAGAATCAAAATCCTTCTATTCACTGAAAGATGCAGAGCAAAACGAAGGACTCGGGTTTTGCCCTGCTGAGTTACAGCAGTAGTATTTGGCTATTCCGTTCACAACTGCACATGTGGGCGTGGAGTGCTGAAAATAGGCTGAGCTGCAGAGGTTGACATAGAACTTCCCTTGATACCTGCAGAGATGATCACAGATGATGACCAGAACCATTTCGGACCTTTGAGGAAGGCCTGAACATTTCTAACCACCACCCCCAAGACTTTTCCTGAGTGCATGCCTGATGCTGGGAATTGAGGAATGCAGTAGGGGCGCCTGGCGTGCGACCTTGATCTCGGGGTTGTGAGTTTGAGCCCCATATTGGGTATAGATTACTTAAAAAAAAAAAAAAAAGATTGCAGTAAAGCATTTCTCTGAGTTCAGAGATGCTGACTATTGTTTATTATCTTGAATCTTATGGAGACTGCTGTCCTCTTTAGTTCTGGCTCAGGAAGAGTCAGAGACTCCGAGCCAGCAGGGACTTGCAGCTCTTCCACTCAGCATGGGAGTTCTGTGGGCAGTCCCCTGACAGGGAATCTTCAGCCTGTGCTTGAGCCTTCCCGCTGATGGGAGCTTACCATTTCTCAGCAGGGCTCATTTAATTACCAGATGATTCTAATTAATCGTCCTTCTGTATATTGAATCTAAAATCTGCTTCCTTGAAATTTCCACCCACTGATCTTGAGTCCTGGTTCTGCCCTGAGGCGCGTTGGAGAACAGGCAGACTTTTCAGCAAAACTGGACTGTGAGCTTTTAGAATTGTAGGCTCTGTTAGCAAAGGTATTGCCATTCCAATATCAGATAAAGGTTAAGACAGGCTGTTCGGTCAGGACTGCGTGGATTTAAATCCCAGCCCTCTTACCTGTCAGCAGGTGCATTACTTAACCTCTTTGTGCCTTCTTTCTTTCATCTAGAAAATGAAGATGATAATAGTCCCATCTCTTAGCTCTGCTATTTGGATTAAGGGAGCTAACACGCTGCCAGTAGTAAGTGCTCAAAGCATTGTTCAGTAGTAGCAGTAGTATAGTATTTAGGGATAGGAAATTGTCATCAAAAGAACTTTAAAAATTTTTAAAAATAACTGCTTCAGATCCAAGCTATAAGTCAGGAGAGTGGTCATCCGTTTGGGGGTGGGAGTAGTGACTGGAAGGGGACCCAGGGAGCCTTCTGCTGACATGTTCTGCTTCCTGATTGGGGTCCTGGATTCACAGGTGTGTTCAGTTTGTGGAAGTTCATCAAACTGTACGTTTATCTCCTGGAAATATAGTTCATATCAACAAAATGTTGGGGAGTTTCTGTTTTTTTCAAGAAAGAGATAAAGGAAAGAGGAATAATGCCACCCAAATATTAATGGGTTTTGTTTGACTAAAGTAAGGGTATTACAGATCTACTCCAGTTCCCCTTCACTTTGAGTTTAGATGTCAACTGCGATTATCCTCTCATTCAGAGAGGGTTGCCCCATCTGTCCTCTGAGTTGATTTGCTTCTCATTTGGAGAAAAGTGAATACTACTCGGTTTAAATTCTTTTCCCTCATGCTGTAGATATTTCCAAGTACCAGCACATCTCTGTTTAGAGAAATAGAGACAGCTCTGTCTTTCATTTTCAGGAAAGCCTTCTTCCAATTGGGCTAAATCTAACCAGGCAGGAATTCCATACCTAAGGCCTCCTCATTCCATTTCTTACTGAGGAGGCCAGCGGCTACTGTCAGCAAGGTAGAAGGATCAGTGACTGTTGTAAATTCTTAGAGTTGTTATTGTCTGAGCTTTAAAAAAACAAATCTCAAAATTATTTGAGTTGATTGACAGCTGAGGTAAGGAATGACATACCAGAAAGACTTATCTTTTTGGCGTTTTTTCCATTCTGAAAATTCTAACTTGTGTGTTGCCACCTACTACTTGAGCCCATGGTGGCACTTTATGTGTTTTTAAAAAATTGTCAAAAAAAACCTTTCCTCCCACGTCCAGTTCCTGTTTCCCCCTCCAGAGGCAACCACTGCTAACCTGGTTCTTCCAGAGATATTCTGGGCATGGACCAGCTTAGGTGAATGTATAGCCTCCTTTTATCTTCCCTAAAATAACACACATTTTACATGCTATTTGTGCTCTGTGCTCTCTTTCTCTCTCTTTTTAAAATAACTTAAATGGAGGTCAGTTCCTATGTATGTAAATGGGCCTTCATTTTTAATAGCTGGCCTTTACTCTTTCCTGGTTTTGAACAAGTTACAAGTCCTCTTCGAAACCTCTTGGCAGCTCTGCTGCACATAGGAAGCATCTCCTTGACCCTGGTAGACTTCTCCGTGCCTTCCCCAACCCTCGACCCCCTGGTCCTCTTCTGCACAGTAAGTCTTTCCTGGTTGGGCTCACTTCACACTCAGATGCTGTAGGCCCCTCAAGGACAGAGCTAAATCGCTTACTTCCGTCATGTGCCTCACAGGACCCAGCGTGGTGCAGAGCACACAGGAGTTGCCCAACAAATACTTGCTTAATCGCCTTGTCTTGAGCATGTTTGGTGCCTGCCCTTGGAGCTTGAGCGTGCTCCGTGCAGAATCCAGGGAACTGAGCACCTCGGGAGAGAAGACGTGATTCTATTCTGGCAGTATTGCCGTGAATATCCATTTTAACTGTGTGCAAGTGAAACTTAAAACAGCACCATTCAACATGACCTACTCTTCAGTAGATTAGTAAACTTTAACCAGCCTCTTGGAGGGCAGCGCTGCCCCAGAGGTCATTGTGGGAGGGTTGAGTACTCTTTTATAGACCAGGAGGAACAGTGTTTCTGCTGCCGCCCATGGCTAACAGGGTGACCTAGCAGATGATGGTGAGATACGTTTTTCTGTGTAAAGGGGGATAATCACAGTAGCATCTGTCATCAGTACCTTGGGTTTTGTTTTTCTAGTGCTTTCTCATATATTACTTCACGTCACTAATAACATGGGAACACCCAGAATTTCCCTGTGTCCACTTGGGGGTCGCAACTTAAAGGCAGCTCGTGGTTCTGATACCTTTGCATTAATGTGTTCACCTTTCACAGGGTACTTTTGCGAGTCCGGATGCTGTACTACCTAAAAGCTGAAATACTGGGAGAGGCAGCTGAGAAAGCGTTTGAAGGAACCCCTGCCAGGTAAACCAAACCAACTGGAGCTCTCAGAGCTCAGTGCTAAAGAGCTGCCACATGGTGCCTGTTCGTGCAGATGGACAAAGCTGCCTGTGCTTCTGGAGGCCCGTGTTCACACCCAGCCCGGGGTCAGTTACCTACATGGTAGAGTGGGCAGGTCCCCTACATATGAAATGAAGGAGAAATTCATTTCTCTACGGCACAGCTTTTGGTGAGGTTTTGAGTTAGTTTGCTTTTCCAGATGGTGTTGTAACATTGGTTTGAACAGTTATTTCCCTGCCCTAACTAGTCGTTGTGGGATGAGTATTCATACTCTGATATGTTTGGTCCGACGGGTGTGCCCTGGGCATTTTGCTCAGAATCCCACTCTTGGCCATAGTGCCCTTCCACATTTGAGCAGTTCTCTGTATTTGCTAATCATACTAGTAATACCTGGTGCCCTGTTTGATTGTTTGCACCTTAGTTTTGTAAATTAGTGTTTCCAAAGGATTCCAAAGTAGAATCCTGTGGGAATCTCCCAAGATTTCAGAGAATGAGGCCACCGTGCTCCCAGCTACCAACCACTTGATGAAGCCGGACAGCCTCCTTCACCCCTAGACATGCTATTTGCTCTAGTCCTGTACAATGCCTATCATTCCCGGAGAAAACCAGAAGGAATGGTATTTCAGCTTTGCTTTGAGATTACCTGTGGCCATGGTTTCTTCTTCCTCTTTCTTTCTTTTTTTTTAAAGATTTTATTTATATGACAGAGACATAGTGAGAGAGGGAACAAAGCAGGGGGAGAGGGAGAGGGAGGAGCAAACTCCCTGCTGAGCAGGGAGCCGACGCAGGGCTCGATCCCAGGACTCTGAGATCATGACCTGAGCCTAAGGTAGACACTTAATGACTGAGCCACCCAGGCGCCCCTTTCCTCTTTCTTTCCATTGGACAGTGCCAATGGCTTTAGCGGTGATGGGGGCGGGGCGGGGCATTAAAGAAGGAGAGAGGTAAAGGAAAATTTGTAATCAGGAGCAACCATTACAAACTTGATAATATTTTCTGTAGTTGCTATAGTCAATTTCTAATGGGTATAGGGAGGTTGAGTCTTTTGGTAAGGAGATTCAATTTATGAATCATAAAAATGCAGCAGAATTCAACCTGATCTGGCAGAAATAATCTATCTGAACTTTCTCATCCCGCTCTGCTTTCTTAGAACATGTAGATGGAAGGAGCTAGATAGAACACGGAGAGTCCATTACCCACGCCCTTCCTTCCTTTCCTCTGCCCTCCTCAATCTTGGCTGTCAGTGCATGAGGAATGAATAGCATTTCATCCCAGAAAAGTCATTTAGCTCCTGGCAGCACCCTGGCAGAGCAGTGGGCCCAATAGTGGAGCCAGAAAGGGAGCACTGGCTGGAATGGTAGGGCCATGGACCACTATTCCCACAGAGGGAGCTGGGCCTGGGGAGGGGCAGTTAGCCGTGTGTCACAAGAAGAATAGCCTGATGGAAGAAGAAACTTCAGATGCTACAGAGGAGCCATCCCAGACAGCTGGGAGGTGGGAGAGAGGAGCCATCAGGTGGATTTTTCTCCCCAGACCCAAAGCCTTAAAGAGTAAGGACTGCGCTCAGACAAATGAAGACAGTGAGCTAAGGGTCCGTGTGAGCTTTCAGAACATGGACAGAGTTCAGTGAGGGGCTGATGGTACAGGCCTGCTAGTCCTATAGGCCTCCCCCTTAGGGCAAGTTATGTCCGTCCCTTTGGCCAGGAGCAGTGCAGTTGGTGATGAGTTTTGACCCAGTAGACCGCTGCCACCTACTGTGGGACCTCTCCTCTGAAAGGCTGTCTTCATACCCCAGCATGTACCGGTGCTGACTGTCTTATTCTCAAACACTGCTTGAGATCTCTACATGTTGAACCAAGATGATTTGGGGACTTTACAGCATTTGATTCTGTATGAATTTGACCATGTGGAAGATGTTCTACCTTCAGTTGACCAATAGATTGATGGCTTTTGCTGTGGTTCTCAACTGAAGATGGATATCTACATTTTACATGTGGACCCCAAAGCCCCACCCAGACTTACTGATGGGTTCTCCAAGAGGTGCTTCCGGGTTCTGTTTCAGTCAGTCTGAGGTAAAGCCTGGAAATCAAGTACATATGTGGAAATAATTCACTGGAGGAGGGTGATGGAAAGTCCTGGTTAGGAAACCGTGGCCCACAGCCTCCTAAGTCCTTGTAACTTCAGCCTCTTAGCATGCCACTAGGGATGTGGCTTAATACCAGGGCTCAGCCAGTAGTTCTTGCATTGTTTTGTGTCTGTGTTGAAGGAACTCTGAGTCTACGCCCTTCCTTCCACAGGGAACTAGAAGTGCCTCTGCCTGACATTGACTACGTGGAGATCCCAGTGGATTGGTGGGACGCTGAGGCCGATAAGTCCCTTCTGATAGGCGTGTTCAAACATGGTGTGTATTTCAGTGAATGCTCTGTCTTTCCTGAGAAACTCCATAACCTGCTGCACATCTCTGGTAGAAAGTAGCCTCACCTCTGTCCTCTCAGATGAATGTGTGAGTCATGAAAATATGGTGAGTGTTCATAATATCGGTGAGGAGCTTCACAAGGGCTGCTATGGTTACAAAGAGCCTGTCCACGCTGTCGGGCCTTGGACTGCCTCACTCTTCTTCACTCTTAGAGTCCCAGTGCCTGGCCTAGTTCCTGGCCACAGTAGACACGTAGCATTTCTTGAGTGAAGGAATAAATAGGGAAAATGTTAGGTTTTAGCATTTCGTGTGTATGTAGAATTCTAAGATCATTCTAGACAATCTACACATTCCTAGTGTGTATCTTTTTGCCCCATTGGTATAAAAATTTAAGAATACAAAATGGTATGAACATTTTTTTTAAAATGTGGTAACTAAGAGTCCAGGGGACTGAGAGAGGTTTTGAATAGCTTGGGAAAACTGAAATAAGTACCGCCTTTCTTCACTTCTGGCACTGTCCTGAGCACCTGCCCTTGCCCTCAGCCAGCAGTCAAGGTGAATGATGGAAGCGCCACATGATAGTCATTGTCATGTACCTGGTGGATACCTTCCCTACCTGGTAAATTAACTGAAATCTTAAACTGGAGAGCAGGATTCAAAGTGGAAAGAGTTGGTCATACCAGACTTTCACTGTCAGCTCTGCCACTTAGTAAATTTAAGACCTTGAGCAAATCATAAATTCTCTGACCAGTTTCCTCGCCTGTACCATGGGGAGAGTATCGAAACAGCCTACCTGGAGTGTTGTTTGAAGATTCAATGAGACCATGTATGTAGACTGCCTAGGGCAGGGCTAGGCAGTAGATAGAAGCGGAGGAGATGTTTAGTGCTGTTTTGCTGTTACTTACTGCTCTCCCTTTGGAAAGTTAACTTTCTCAGATATGCCTAATCAGTAGAATTCAACATTTGGAGGCCAACCAATCACGTTTACTTAACAACTATGCCTATACTTACTTTAACAAGGAATCCCCTCAACGCTTGGATTCTGGTGTTACAGTGGGAGATCCAGTGCTCCCCAGAGCCCTTTGTCAAACTGCTGGGGTTAGGATGAGCAGTGCTATCCATTAGAGCTACCTGTGATGACGGAGGAAATGTCCTATCTATCTCTGCACTGTCCACTATGGAATCCACCAGCCACATGTGACTGTTGAATACTTCCGAGATATGATTGGTACATCCAAGCAACTATATTTCTAATTATATGTAATTTTAAGGAACTGAAATTTAAATAATCACATGTGGTTCCTCTTTTGGACAGTGCAGGGCTGGAACTCAGCTCTGAAGTGGTAAGAAGAAACACATGACCTCTTTGTTAAGCACAAGGAACCACAGTGCAACCAAAACTTGGTTTAATCTAATTTGGGAAAGAACCCAGAGACAAGTTGCTAGAAGCAGCCAAATTCAGAGCATCTGAACTTGTTGTGGAAGAAAGTCCATTGGCCCTGTGTCTCATTTCAGTGGTAGTTTTAGGGCACATAGCCATACCTTGGTGGAGAGAACGTGATGTGGAAAGGGAATACAACATGAAGTCCCGGCAGTATGGCAGACAGAATCTACATGCTTCCCCTCTGACCCTCTTCCGACCCAGCACACACACACCACAGACATACAGAAAGCCTGGGTGGGTTAGGACGATAATGTGAAACTACCTAGCTGCATATGAAACAAATAAAGGAAAATCCCCGAATGAAGAGGTCACTTAAAGCCAGAGCTGAAAGCTCACTGATAGGACAGCAAGCCAAAGAGACTGGGTTTTTAATGCCCACACAGAAAATGGAAACAAGCCCCTCCAGGAAAGGAGGGCAAGAGAAGGCTCTTTGGCCCAGGGAAGCGGAGATAGAAGAACATACTCCTGAGAGATAGATGGAGACATGAAAGAGATGAGGTGGAAGAGAGAAGGCGGTTGCCATGTAAAGCAGGATGTGCCAGGCAAGTACTAACAACAAACCAGAAGCAAAACACATATGACCCATAAGACCATATGGCAAAGTCCGTATCCTACAAAAGGTCTTTAAGGAAAGAAGGATAGTTTGGGATAAAGAGGGTCTTTACACGGTGATGATGGGTGTAATTCATCAGGAAAATGTGGCTAACAGTGTGGCCTCAGAATACGTCAGAGGACAGAACTCTCAGGGAGCTCAAGACCCCTTCTCTCCTAAGAAAGGCAAGTTAACACTGGCACCAAACCTATTAGCTTTTTCATCCCTGAGCAAGGTTTAGGGTAGTAGGATTAAGCAATTGATCTCTCTTAGTCTTATATTAGGAATGTTCAAGGGTCAACCAGATGGTGTCTAAGGTCACTTCCATATCTAAAACTCCTCTACTCTACAAAGCATTTTGGGAGGGTATGAGTTGATCTTTCCTAAGTTTTCCTGAGTACACCCATGAGGTCTTAAGATGATGCATCACCCATTCCATTCAGATTTCCCCAGATTGCCAGTTGAGGTGAACTCAATAGTCAGAGTCAGGGCTGAGGGCATGTGCCTGATGCCTGAAGTGGCTGACTGTGGCATATGATGACTTCAGACACACTGTAAAGTATACCCAGTGCTAGGGGACTGGACCTAAACCACACATGCACACCCAGCTCACTCTTGCACAGAACCAGCCCTGTTTAGTTGGATGTTAACATTGGATCTACCCAGACTGCATTGGACAGACGCCTGTGGCTGGCTTCATGGACTCATCCTCCTTGGAGTCTTCCAGAATACAGATCAGATCCTCCCCCTGACTGGATGCTGCCCATCAGACATCCCATGAGCATAGGCTTAGACCCGTCCTCATCTAGGTAACACACCTGACCACACCTGTGTAACTTAGCCCACACAACAGGTCTTACCAGGTGATAGTCAGGCTCCCAGATACCCAGCAGCTGGTAGAGATATGACGTTTTCAGAAAGCCAGGCTATCTGGTGTTCACGTTTCAGGAAGTCGTGTCAGGAAGCCCTCTGCCTTGCCTCCATCCTGTGGAGGCCTAAGTATGAGCTGTGCTGCTTCCACCATTTTCTTTGTGAAGAAACACAGCCACCCATTGTCTGAAGTTCTGTGGCTCCTGCAGGCCACCCCAGACATACCCTGCCACAGCCCTACTTAGATCAGAAGGGTAGAGCCATGGTTCCATCTCTGAGCTGACCCCGTGGGAGAATTGCCTGCACCTTTGGTGGTTTGCAGCAAGAAGGGCCCATAGCAAACGCATTCCGAATGATGCTCTCGATAGCTCTCTGTTGCATTAACTGACTATGGCCCCCTAAGGCAGCCTGGATTTATGCAGTTTTTATTAAGATAGGAAGTATCGTATTTTTGTTGACCTTCTTAGAAAGGGGCTTCTAGACTGAAGAGGCAAGCAGCCCCCGCCCCTCAAAGGCTGTCATCTACTATGTGTTTATTGGCATTGCTCTTAGAGTGCCTACAACTCAAAGGGCAGTTGTTGGGGTTTTCTAGGGGACTGAATCAGTCACTCTTCCTTGCCTCCAGCTTCATAGCTCAGTGAGAAATAGGAATGCAGAATCTCTCTAGACTTCAGACCTCCACAAGACAAGAGAAAGTCTGCAGAGTAGAAGCGTAGCCAGGTAGTAGGCTGCCAGAAGAACCTTGTCAAGCACAGAGCACATGAGGGCAGGACACATGGACAGTGAGCCTCCCTCAGGAGGAAAGGGCTGGTGGGGAAAGCTTTCAGCCTCTCACCTATTAGGTGAAGCACCCCTCTTTTCATGGGGAGCAGAACGTGGAGATAGCAGGAATTTCCTCAAGGCAGCAGGAACATTGAGGATGTTTCTGTTTTGCAGAGAACTGGGGTAGAACACGGGGAGAAGGTGCGAATGGCTCTTTCTATTTCTACAATGATTATTGGAAGAGAATCTGGACAAAACTGACTCATCCAATCTTTTGTTGTGCGTGTATGGTGTTAGGCCCCACACTAGATACTGAATGTGTAATGATGAGAAAAAACTTTTCCTAAGGAGCCCACCATCTCATGAGAGAGACTGACCATAATCAAATAATCGCCCTAAGGAATAGTGAATAAAGAGCATAAGGCATCACAGTCTCCTGCCGTATGCCTCAGGTGGGCAGCGCCTGTCAATGAGATAGCAGAAGAGTTCCTTTGGATTAAAAGGTGAAAGTACCTGCAGCTCCTCAGAGACAGAGTACCAGCTGCTGCCTACAGGGTGGAGGACAGAACTACACCCACAGCGCTGATGGAACAAAAACCAAGGAAGCAAAATATCCAACAAAGTAAAATCCAGTTTGTTGTTAGCACCCATGCTGGTCCCCCATCCTATGACAGGCCCTCTCTGTGCCTACAACAGAGCTGGGAATGGACCTTGTTCCTGGGAGCAACGTGGGAAGGGTTTTGACCATCTTGAAAGCATTTACCCCAAGAAAGTTTGCTATAACGATAGATTTGGATCTTTTCTGTGACCAAATCCTGTCTCATTATCAAATTACATTCGACTCAATAAAAAAAAATAATAAATTCTCATGCCTGGGATTATCAAAGTGAAAGTGATATTATTTCATTGTTTTGGCTCCCTTTCAAGGGTCTCCTCTGAGTCGAATATGCTCATTCTCTGTTTGGCTTTGGGGATGTGGTGAGGGGTAATTCCAAAGCCCTGGCCAGTGGATTAGTATTTCATACTGAGTTGGTGAATATGGGCGCAATAAATCATTTTTAATCTGATTAACAAGCACAGTAGTCCTCCTTGTATTTTATCCCCTGCATCCATCACTTGGTTCAATTTCTGTTTCTAAGACAAGGGATAGAATCAGACTATCAGAAAACAAAGCCCATCCCGGAGGTAACAAGATGTCCAGAGTTGGGGGTTGAGAGGAAGAAGTTGCAAAAGCAACTTGCATGATTCCCTTTGCTGTCCAAGAGAAGTAAACAAGTGAGCATTATTGCGTCTATACCTCGTGTCTCTTCACAGACACAGAATATTTACGTCAGCTTTTATTTTTGGTCAAACACTTACTCATTGGGCATCTACTTTAGCTCAAGGATCTTCCTCGGATAGGAAATCTTACAGGATTCGATTAATCTTAAATAGTGTTTTTGATTGCTTTATTTTTCACTTAACAAGGAAAACAAAATGACTGTGCAGGGCCCAGGGTAGATTTTGTGAGTTCTAACATGCCTCTGACATTTCTCATTATCCCTGAGCAGGGTATGAGAGGTACAATGCCATGCGAGCAGACCCGGCACTTTGCTTCCTGGAGAAAGTCGGGATGCCAGATGAGAAGTCCCTTTCTGCAGAACAGGGTGTTACGGATGGGACCCCAGACATTCCTGACAGGTGAGCCATCTGTGATATGACATGTTACGCCATGAATCTCTGACCCCCTCTGTGGATACCCAGCATTCTCACAGTCTCTCCCTCACAGCCCAGCATCTCCCTTCAGTCTTGACATGCTGGAACCGTTCTCCAAAGTCGCTGCATTAGTTACATCCTGTTACGCCTCAGGCCTTTTCCTTGACTTCTAAGCACTTTGAACCAAACACCAGTTCCTGTACTTCATGGGTTCCTCGAGCTGCCCACCATCCTACCCTCCTCATCTCTTGTCTGGTCAGAGGATTCTTGAGGAAGAATTCAGACCTCTCATACCTGGTGGAAAGCTAAGAGGCACTGCAACTACGGGCTTCGTGACCTGAAATGCCTCAGATGAAATTCTGGCATTATTTAAGAATGCATTATCCATGCATAAGGTGAATTTAGGAGCCACTGCATGATGGCTGTGGCATCGAGGCCTTGTTTATGGGTTGTGTACAAAAAAGTATAGAAGCATCTCCTCTGGCTGAGTTTTACTTACTGTTGGCATAACCCCCAAATGTGTAAATTAATTAGAAAGCTAAATAAACATCCAGGAACTGTGAACTCTGGTGCTCCAACACACACACACACACACACACACACACACACACTTGGGAAACATTGTATGTATCTCTTAGCTTGGGTTTGGTAAGCTTTGAACTGATCTTCTTCCCAAAAGTAGCAGATACTGCTTTGCATTGCCTAGGGCTGTGGCCAGACCTCGCCAGGAGGGCCTGCACTGCCAGGAGCTCCTAACCACCTGCTAAGGCCAAGAAAAGGTTGAAATGCATTTTCCATCTGTCCTTAACCCGTGATGAACACTTTAGCTACCATAACACTCTGTGCTCCAGAGAGAAATTTCCTCTGTGGAGACTCATTTGGAGAGATGTTAACAGAAGCCCAAGTGAGTGGGGATGCTAATGGTAGATGTGGGGGGACATGCTGCGTGGGTAAGGTACCCAAATGTGGTGGAAAGCTTACATTTTTGTCGGGCGTCTGTTCTTTCTGTGGTTAAGCAGTGAGAGGTAGTTAAGGTAGGAGAGAGTCCACTGCCTCCAGAACCTGAGCAGCATCGATGAGAATATTTGAGACAGGAACATTCCAAAGTCAATGTAAGACAAATCATGAAAAAGATCGGCATCGGGCGCCTGGGTGGCTCAGTTGGTTAAGCGACTGCCTTCGGCTCAGGTCATGATCCTGGAGTCCCTGGATCGAGTCCCGCATCGGGCTCCCTGCTCGGCAGGGGGTCTGCTTCTCCCTCTGACCCTCCTCCCTCTCATGCTCTCTGTCTCTCATTCTCTCTCTCTCAAATAAATAAATAAAATCTATAAAAAAAAAAAAAAAAAAAAAAAAGATCGGCATCAGCAATAGTTAAGCTGACAAGACAGAAGACTTTAGGCAGCTGAGCTCGAGGTAGGTGTCTATTGATGAAGAGGGCACAGTGTCCTTCCTTCCTAGCAGTAGCAGCCCCGCTCCCTCCTGAGGAAGTGACTGCCACCAAATAAAGGATTCTGCCTGAAGCTTCACCCCACTGTGGGGGAAAGGGGGCCTGGGGCACTTCGGGACTCCCTAGATTTGCACGGCCTCAAGTCTCGAGTCTGTTCTTTTATTAAAGGCCCATGTTCAGGTAACTCTCGGTGGGCAGTAATGACCTTGCTTGTGAAGTATCACTGTCGAATAGCTGGCCTCTGAACTTGTCTGAGTAGATCACCTCCTGCTGAAGTCTCAGTTGAGTGCAGGTCCTTGCCCATAGAAGTTATGACACTGGTAGAAACCAGGATTTTGAGGCCTGTGGGCAAGGGATCCGCTAATTTTCCTTTCGGTCAGTGATTTAGGGGGTTTTCTTGCAAGCATTCCAGTTGCAAAATAGCTCCTAGGTGGTGCGTGATGCTTTTTATTTTACTTTTATTCAGAGGCAACATGGATAAAGAAGACAACACTGAAGACAAGTTAGATGGCCTGCAGAAGCAAATGGTGAGTCACAGGTGCTATGTTGGTAATCCACACGATCTTCAGTGTTGAGAAACTCCCCATCTTGGCAGTGAGCTCGGGGCGCTTGATTGCAGTCCTGCAATTGCATTGCATTTTGCCCAGCATTTTAGTGTAAAGTTTATCAACATACAGACTGCATTGCACTTTTATTCTAATGAAAGTTTTAATTTTAATATAACTGTAGATTTTAGATGCATTATAAGATACAATACAGAGTGATCCCGTGTACCTTTTATCCAGTTTCCCCCCATGGGAACATCTTGCAAAACTGTAGTACAGTATCACAACCAGGATGCTGACATTGTTAGTCAAGATACAGGACGTTTCTGTGACCACAGAGATCCATCGTGTTGCCCTTTATAGCCATAGCCCTTTCCCTCCTGCGTTTACCTCCTTTGTAATTGGTGGCAGCCACTAACCTATTCTCCATGTCTGTAATTTGTTATTTTAAGATTATCTCTTAAGATACGAACTAAGAATTTAAGAATATATATATTATTAAATGGAATCATAACAATAAGGGGCCCTTGGGGATTAGCTTTTGTTGCTCAGTGTAATTCCCTATAGACTGCTGCAGGTTGTTTTTTGTAAAAGTAATGCCGTCCTTTTCGTTGCTGTGTAGCAGTCCTTGGTGTGGATGTCCGGGTTTGTTTTACCATTCATCCACGTGCAGGATACGTGCGTTGTCTCCAGTTTTTGACTATTACAAATACCTCTATAAACATTTGCGTACAGATTTTGCGTGACTATACATTCCTGTTTCTGTGGCATAAATGTCCATAAGTACAGTTGCTGGGTGATAAGGTTACTACATGTTTAGTTTTTTTTTTTTTTAAACTGCCAAGCTGTTTGCAGTGTGGCCATACCCCTTCACATTGCCGCCAGCCCCGTAGGAGCGGTCCACTTTCTCCTCATCTTTTGTTAGCTTTTGGTGTTGTCACCACTGTAATTGAACCATTCTGATAGGTGTATAGTGATATCTAGTTGTAGTTTTAATTTACATTTCCCTAATAGCTAATGATGTTTAACATCTTTTTGTAGGTTTAATTGCCGTATGTAAGCCTTTTCAGTGAAACGTTTCATGTCTTTTGCCCATTTTCTAATTGCATTGTTTGTTTCTTTGTTTTCCTATTGGTATTTGAGAGTTCTTTATATATTCCAGATACCAGTCTTTTGTCAGATATGTGGTTGGCAGGTATTTTCTCCCACCCATAGTTGGTCTTTTTATCCTATTCACATTGTCTTTCACAGAATAACAGTTTTTAATTTTGAGGAAGTTCGCTTACCAATTTTTCTTTTTATGGGTCGTGCTTTTGGTTTTAAGTGTAAGAATTCTGCCTATCTGTGGATCTCAAAGGTTTTCTTCTATATTTTCTACTAAAAGTTTCTTAGTTTAACAAGTAAATCTGTGGTCCATGTTAAGTTAGTTTTCGTATAAACAGAATTAGATTCAGGTTCTTTTTTTAACCTGTTGCTGTCCAATTGCTCTAGAACCATTTGTTTTAAAGAGCTATCTTTTCTACATTGCATTGCTTTTGCATCTTTGTCAAAATATCAGTTGAGCGTATTTGTGTGGATCTATTTCTGGGTTCTCGATTCTGTTCCATTGTTCTATTTGTCTACTTCTCTGCCAATAGCATGTAGTATCAATTATTGTAGCTATATCATAAATCTTAAAATTGGATAGACTGATTTCTCCCACTTCTTTTTCAAAATTGTTTCAGCTTTTCTCGTTCCTTTGCCTTTCCGTATAAATTTTAGAATACTCTTATCTATATCTACAAAAGTTCTTGCTGGGATCTTGCTAGGAATTGCATTAAACCCATGTATCACTTTGAGGAGAAATGACCTTTTACTATATTGAATCTTACTATATATCTCTCCATTGATTTCGATCTCTGATTTCTTTCATCACTATCTTACAGTTTTTCAGAGAACAGTTTCTGTACATGTTTGTAGATTTACATCGAGATACTTCATTTCCTTTGGTGTGATTGTAAATGGGATATTTATGTTTATCTTGTATCCTGCAAACTTGGTCAACACAGTTTCAATTTAAGGTGTTTTGTGATTTTCTATGTCAACAATCCTGTCATCTGCGAATGGGGGTAGTGTTATTTTTTCTTTTCTGATCTGTATGCCTTGTATTTCTCTTTCTTGCCATATTACACTGTCTGAAACTTCTGGGACTGTGTTGAATGAATGCTGAGAGCAGACATTCTTGCCTTGTTCCTGATACTAGGAGGAAGACATTTAGTCTTTCATTGTTAAGTATAATGCTAGGTCTAGGTTTTTTGGAGGTGATCTTTATTGAATATGAGGCATTCCCCTGTATCCCTAGTTTTCTGAGAATTTTTATCATGAATAGATGTTGAATTTTGTGAAATGCATTTTTTGCACTGATTAATATGATCATGTGATTTTTCTTATTTAGCTCTTAATATGGTAGATTACATTGATTGATTTTCAAATATTGAATCAGCCTTGCATCCCTGGATAAACTGGGATAAATGCCGCTCAGTCATGGTGCATATGATTCTTATTGTTAAATTCTACTTGCTAATATTTTGTTAAGGATTTTTGCATCTATATTCATGAGAGATACTGGTCTATGGTTGTCTTTCAGTACTATCTTTATCTGCTTTTGATATCAGGGTAATGTTAGCTTTATAAGTGAATTGGATGTTATCTCCAACTGTTTTCTAATAGAGGTTATCTATAATTGGTATTAATTTTTTTTAATGTTTTGTAGAATTCTCCCATGAAACCATCCTGGAGATTCCTTTTTGAGGGAGTTTTAAAATTATGAATCCAACTGTCTATTTTATATTGAATAACTTGTAACAGTTAGTGTTTTTTAAGGAATTTGGTCTATTTCATCTAGGTTGTCAAATTTGTGTGTTGTTCATTGTATTTCCTTATCCTTTTGAATTGTAGTGCTGTTCCCTCTTTCATTCCTGATACTGGTAATTTGTGTTTTCTCTTTTTCTTTATCTGTCTTACTAGAGATTTGTCTATTTTATCTTCTTAAATAATCAGCTTTTTGTTTCAGCTCTTTGTCTTCTCTTTTAAATTTCATTGATTTTGGGGCACCTGGTGACAGTTGGTTGATCATCTGCCTTCAGCTTGGGTCATGACCCCAGAGTCCTGGGATAGAGCCCCATGTCAGGCTCCCTGCTCAGCAGGGAGCCTGCTTCTCCCTCTCCCTCTGCCCCTCCCCCATGCTCATGCTCTTCTCGTGCTCTCTCTCTCAAATAAATAAAATCTTAAAAAAATAAATAAATTTCATTGATTTGTCTTCTTTATTACTCCCTTCCTTCTGCTTGCCCTGGTTTTATGTTCCTTTTCTTTTTCTAGATTTTTGGAGTGGAGCTTAAATTACCATTTTGAGACTTTCCTGCTTGTTTAATGTATGCATTCAGTGCTATAAATTTCCCTCTCAGCATTACTTTAACTATGTCCCACAAATTTTGCTATGTTGTATTTTCGTTTTCATTCAATTTAATGTATTTTTAAAAAATTACTCTTGAGACTTCCTCTTTGATCAATGGATCATTAGACCTGTATTATTTAGTTTCCAAGTGTTTGGAGATTTTCCTATTTTCTCTTTTCTACTTCTAGTTTGATTCTATTGTGTTCAGAGAACAAACTATTATTTCAGTTGTTTTAAATTTGTTAAGGTTTGTTTTATGGCCCAGGACATGGTCTGTCTTGGTGTATGTTCCATGGGCACTTGGAAAACAATGTGTATTATGCTGTTGTTGGGTGCACTTATGTTGACATAATTGCGTAAATGTCAGTTAGATCATGTTGATTGATAGTGTTGAGTTCTTCTGTATCCTTGCTGATTTTCTGTCTGGTTGTTTCATTAGTTGCTGAGAGAGGAGTATTGAAGTCTCCAATATAATTATCAATTTGTCTGTTTCTCCTTTCATTTGTATCAGTTTTTGCTTCACATATTTTGCAGCCCTCTTGTTTGGTGCGTACATATTTTGGCTTGTCTTCTTAGGTAGATTGACTCTGCTATTATTATGTAACGTCCATCTCTACCTCTGATAGTTGGCTCTGCTCTGAAGTGTATTTTATCTGACATTAATATAGCTACTCCTGATTTCCTTTGATTAATGTTTGCATCTTACAACTTTTTCCATTCTTTTACTTTCAGCCTACTTTTATTGTTATACTTGAAGTGAGTTTCCTATAGACAACATAGAGTTGGGTCATACTTTTTAATGCATTATTCCAATCTCTGTCATTGTGTTGGTATATTCAGCCCTTAATACTTAATGTAATTATTCAGACAGTAAGACTTCAGTCCAATATTTTATTTTATTATTTTCTCCTATTTTTGATTCTCTGTTTTCTTTTTTCTGCCTTTCTCTGGGTTACTTGAACACTTTTATGATTGCTTTTTTATTTATCTCTGTTATCTGTTATCTATATTGTTTTTTTAACAGCTTTTTGATAGCCCTTTTAGAGATTTTATTATATATACACAAAGTATCACAGCTGCTGGTATGATCATTCACCAGTTCAACCTTACTACTAGTTTTGTTTCTTTACCCTCCCCCCATTTTCAATACAGTGACCTTAAGTATTTCTTCCACATACATTTAGAACCATATCAGACAATGTTACAACTTGTGCTGCAACTGTCAGTATGATTTAGAAAATTGAAGAGGAGAAGAGTCTGTGGTATTTAGTTGTATTTTGTTTACTGGATTCCTTCTTCTTTATGGTGTTCCAAGGTTTCTTCTTTCCGTTTAGAGAAATTCCTTTAGCCATTCTTTTAGGGTAGGTCCAGTTGACATTTCTCTTAGCTTTTCTTTGCGAATGAGAATTCCTTTAGCCATTCTTCTAGGGTAGGTCCAGTTGACATTTCTCTTAGCTTTTCTTTGAGAATGTCTTAATATCCCCTTCATTCCTGAAGAATATTTGCACTGGATATAGGACTCTGGGATGACAGTTCTTTTCTTTCAGCT